CTTGCCCGCCTCGATCTTGAAGAAGTCGAGGAAGTTGGAGACGGTGGAGAGCAGGATGGAGCCGGAGACGCGGATGGTCTTGGCCAGATCGCGCTGGTCCGCCTGCAGAGGGCAGAGGGCAGGCAGCAAGAGGGCGGATGCAGTCGGCATGCGGAGGCGCATGCTGGGGCGCCAAGGAGCGCGAGGCGCGCGTGGCTGGGCCCCAGAGGAGCGCCGCGTCGCGGCCCCAGCAGCCGGTAGCGCGTGCCCGACCCGCCGCCGCCAGCCCCCCGGCCGCCCACTCACGTCCAGCTGCGTGTCCAGCAGCATCTCGGCGGAGGCCAGGCAGCCGTTGAGCGGGGTGCGCACTTCGTGGCACATGAGGCTCATGAACTCGCTCTTGGCCTCGTTGGCCGCCTTCTCCCGCGCCACCACCAGCGCGCGGCCCGCCGCCTGCTGCTGTGCTGCCGCCAGCTCCCGCTCTATGAGCACCCGCGCCTGCACCTCCCCTAGCTCCTTGCCCGCAGCGCTCAGCGCCAGCTTGTGCGCCACAAACGAGTCGCGGCGGTTGCTGTCTGCGGGGCGGGGCAGGGGCACGGCAGGGGTGGGGCGTGGATGCATTTCTCGACGTGGCACCGGCGGGGGAGCACCCACGGCCCTGGGAGGAGCGGCGGCGGCGGCGGCTTGCACAGTGGGCCCGCTCTGCGGTTGCGCCGCTCACCAGAGACGTAGGCCATGAGGGCGCCCACCGCCCAGGCCACGAGGATGTGCACTAGAGCCTCCACCGGCAGCGGCCCCGCCGCCACAAACTCGGCAAAGCCCAGGCTGGCCACGGTGGGTGCGGCGGCCGCCACGCAGGCGCCGTCCACGCCCGCCGCGGCGCACGCGGCGGCGGCGCCGCCCGGGGGCAGGCGCACGCGCAGGTTGGTGGCCGCCGCGACCAGCACGGGTGCCGCCAGCGCCACGGTGCCCACCAACCAGCGCAGCTTGAGCACCGCGCTGGTGCAGGTGAGGAAGAGCGCTGCGTAGACGTAGTCGCCGGCGTTGCCGGGGCGCAGCGACAGCAGCAGCAGGCTGATGGCGCCGGCGATGAGGCAGCACAGGAGCGCCTCCTCCTGCGGGCGGCGCGCGAGGCGGCGGCGGCCGCGGTGCACCGTGAGCGTGGGAATGGCGGGCATGGGTGCAGCGGGCAGGAAACTGACATACAGCCAAGGGTGACCAGTGGGCAGCACTTGAAACCACACTTGAACAAACAAACGCGGCGGGGCGGCGCAAGGGCGGCGGCGGCAGCCCGCGGCAGCCCCGCCCCTGCCTGGTCCCCCGGCCTCGGCACGCCATCCCAGCAGCCCCTGCACCCACCTGTTTGGCCGCCCGGCTGCCCAGCCGGCGGGTTCGCTGGTTGAGCAGGGCAGTGAGGGTGTAGAGCAGCGCCATGTTGGCCATCTGGGCCAGCATGCTGCGTCCCACCGGCTGCGCCGAGGCCAGCTTGGCCGCCGCCCGCACGACAAACATGATGCAGTCGAAGCCGCCCACCAGCGCCAGCACGCGCCACCGGCTCGACGCCTGCTCCGCCGCGAACTCGCCCTCCGCGTCGCTGCTGCGGAACTTGAGGGTCAGGCGGTGCTGCTGGAGGGCCTGGGAGGCCTCCTCGTCCACGGGGGGTGGTGGGGAGGTCCCACCGCCCGTCATGGTAGTAGGGGCAGGCTCAGGCTGCCCCAGCGTGTTCTCCATCCTAGCCCCGCCCATGGAGGGCCATAATGCGCCTCGGAAAACGCCCAACAGGGGGAACTGGGGCTGGGTGGCGGGCTGGTCGGCAGAGTGTGAAGGGGGTTGCTGCAGGGGAGTGTGTGTAGGAGACAGGGTTGCGAAAGCCTGAGACTGAGGGGCAGAACGAGGGCTGTAAGCTCGCGAGGGCAGATGTAAATCTGGTGGGCCCGCAAATATCTGGCGACTCGAGCGTCTTTTTGAGCTCATGCGCCTTGGCCTGCGTGCCCCGATAGTTGGAAGTGCATGCGACGAGGCAGCGGGACCCTGTGTGGGGGGCAAAGGGGCTCGAGGCGGGTCAACGCCTGCCGCTTCCCGCCGGCCGGCGAGGGGCCGCCGCAGTTTGTGCAAACTCTCGGCGTCTTAGCAGGCCTTACAGAGGCTGGTACACCACAACAGCAGCTCTCGCAGGTGCAGGGCCCCATCATGGCCGGCGGTCGTCAAACACTGCAGGTCAGGGGGAGCGGGAGTGGTCGCAGTTGCTCCCCGACACCGCCGGGGCCAACGCGCAGGGAGGTGCACAGCCTCCGCGAGCCGCCGGCGCGCAGCTCACCATACACCAGGGCCGCCGACCCCGCTGCCACGCCCGCCAGCAGCACCATGGCCGCCGTGTATCCGGAGAAGGCGTCTGCCAGCGCGCCCACCAGGAAGGGCCCCGCAAAGCCGCCCACCGCGCCGCCGGTCTTCACCAGGGCAAAGCCGATGGCGGCAGACCTCTGGTCCAGGAATGCCGAGGGCCAGCTGCGGGCACAAGCGGCAGGCCCACAGGGGTTGCCAACCTGCCCACCAAGCCCAAGCCAGCGGGCCGCGTCACCACCCCAGCTCTCCCCCCCCCATGCCCTCACGCCTCCCCACCTGAAGAAGGGGCCGTGGGTGGCCCAGATGCCGCTGGCAGCCAGCGTGAGTGCCAGCAGAGCGGGTGCGGGGCCGGCGGCAGACAGCATGGGCAGGGCCGCCAGGCCCAGCGCCGCCGCCAGCATGGGCACCGCGGTGTGCAGGCGCCGCTCGTCCGCGCGCTTGGCATGCTGCGCGTTGGCCACCATGCACAGCGCGGCGCCACAAAATGGCAGCGCAGACAGCAGCGAAGACTTGACCAGCAGCGCGGTGGTGGGGCTGGCGCCGGCGCTGCCGCCGCCTCCGTCCGACTGCAGCTGCCCCAGCAGGGCCGCCTTGACGATGGAGGGGATCCAGAAGTTGCAGCTGTTCATGCACACATCGATCAGCAGCATGGCGGCCGACAGGTGCCACACGCGCCGGTCCAGCAGCCCCGCCCGCACGGCAGCCGCAGACAGCCCGCCGCTCCAGCGCCCCCCCTCGCTGTCACCGCCGCCGCCCCGCTCCTCCTCGCCTGCTGCCTTTCCCGCCTCCCAGGCAGCAGCCGGCCGGCCGCCCCGCCCAGCCACCGCCTGCTCCGACTGCAGCAACGCGACGTCCTCCACACAAGTGCTGCCGTGCGCGTTGCCGTCTTCGCTCCCTGCCTGGTCAAGCGCCCCTGCTGCCGCGCGTGGCGGCGCCACAAGCTCGATGTCTTTGCCGTGGCCCTGCACCTCCCGCCACAGCCACTGCTGCTGCGCTGGCGCCAGGAAGCGCGCCGTAAGCGGGCTGGAGGGCAGCAGGAAGGGCAGGGCTGCCGCCAGCAGGATGGGTAGCATGCCCTCCGCCAGAAACAGCCACTGCCAGCCGCGCAGCCCTGCGGCGCCATCCAGCAGCATCAGCGCCGCCGCGAGCGGGGCGCCCAGCAGGCCCGCCACAGCCGTGGCCGTAGCCACGCATGTGTACGCCAGGCCCAGGCTGCGCGGCGGGTAGAAGAGGGACAGGAGGTACATGATGGCGGGATACTGCGGGCAGAGAGGGGACAGAGTGGCGAGCTAGCTGTGGTGTGGAAGTGCGGGCTTGCCAGGGGAGGCGGCCAACCAGAGCACCAGCGTTCTTGATGGCACGCTGCCGCCTGCCTCGCAGCAGCTGGCCTCGCTCACCGCGCCGGCCTCTGCCACTCCCAGCAGCAGGCGCAGCGCCAGGAAGCTGGCCATGCTCCCCACCGCCGCAAAGCACATCGCCACGGCGCCCCAGGCGACGAGCAGCATGGGCAGCCAGCGGCGGGGCCCCAGTGCCACGCACGCCATGTTGGCTGGGATCTGTGCCAGGTAGCCGATGAAGAACATGCCTGCGCCACATGCAGGTTCACTGAAGCAACCCGAAAATCCATGCACCTGACAGCCAAGCGCCCCTCTGCACACCTGAGCCGGCGCCGTGCACGGTGCGGGAAAAGCCCAAGTCAGAGTCCATTTGAAGCGCAGCAAATGCCAGGTTTGATCGATCAAGCTGCACGTAGTTGAAGCAGTCAGACAACACGCATGGAAGCTTGCCAGCCGTGCCGTAAACGCGTCCTACCTGACACACGAGCGAGACAACGAAGAGTGGCGGCAAGAGGCGGCGGTTCACGCGCGTCCATACTGTGGCACTGTCTACGGCTTCAACTGCAGTCATGTTATCCCTCAGTCTGCAATCATGCTCCCTCAGTTCAACGAGCTAGGGAGCCAACACGACACCCTGCAGGCTGCAAAGGCAGCAGCCCGCCGAAGAGGGCTAGGCTCCTGAACGAGCTTGCAGAAGGTGCAGTGACTCCACCGCCAGTGCAACGCTGCAAAACAAGTGAGCACAAGATGGCATGGGGTGGAGTTTTCCAATTTGCCTGGAAACGCCAGAAATGCCGGCCCACGGCCCCTGTTCGCCCATTTTATTCCCTGGGACAGTCAGGAGGCCACTCTGTTTCACTGGCCGGTCTTCCACCCGCGGCAGAAACTGGCCACCGCCGCGCAACACCCTCGCCGCCTGGTCGCCCCCTGGGGGGCGGCGCAGCCCACTTCGTGCCCCAGGTGAGAGTGCGGCTGGCGCAAGCAGCACGGCGGCCATGGTTGAGCCTGCCCTCTGATTCTGCACAGCCTGCAGCCATCAGCAGTAGAAGGGCAGGGCCAGTGCTTGGAGGGCAGTGCCCGACCCCGCCGCCTTCTTGGTCCGCCTCGCCCCGCAGGGTCAGCGCGGCGCCGGCCCACGCCCAATGGCGGCGCTGCAGACGCAGCTGGTGCTGGCTTGGGCCAAAGCCCTCACCGAGCTCGTCACGGTGGAGAAGAAGAACATCATAGCGCTGACAGAGATTGCGCGCGATGCGCTACGCTCCGAGCCGCAGTCGGCGCCCAGCCTGGCCAACCTGCTCACCAGCCGCATCGTGCAGGTGCCCACCGCAGCATGCCTCGCCGCTCCGCTTGTCTCTCGCCGCGCCGCAGTGCCTTCTTGCCTGCCGCCGTGTTCCTCAGGCTGCAGCAGCTGCTCCTGCTGCCTCACCCACCAGCCGCCACCAGCGGACCTAGACCCGCCCCTTCCCATGCCTCCCGCCTTGCACCCGCCGCCCCGCAGGCGCCCCCCTCCCAGAAGCTGCCTGTGCTGTACTTGCTGGACTCCATCTCCAAGCTGGTGGGGGAGCCGTACAAGACGCTCTTCTCGCCCGCGCTGCCAGAGGTGAGAGGCGGGCGGTGGCATGGCCCTCGGCGCAACGCTCCCTGCGCAGCGTTGCTCGCCGCCGCTCTGTTTCCCTACTGCTTTTGCCTGCTTTCCTCCCTGCTGCTGTGCCTGCCTCGTTTCCCTTCCTCCTGCTGCTCTTTCGTGCCACGCTTGGCTCAGCAGCCTGACCCCTGCCTGGCCTCGCCCGCAGGCCTACATGAGCACCTGGCAGCACGGCGGCGCAGGCCTGCACCGCCCCCTGGACAAGCTGCTGGGCACCTGGTCTGGCGTGTTCCCCACCCCCGTGCTCAACGACATCTACGGCCGCCTGGCGGCGCTCAGGGCGGCGCAGGCCCCGCTGCACGTGCAGCAGCCGGCCGCTGCGGCGGCGCCAAACGGCTACGGCGGCGGCGGCGGCGGCGGTTTTGGGTACGCGCCCTTGGTGGCGGCGCCCACATTGGGGCCGCCCGTGCAGCCGATGCAGCCGATGGCCGCCGACCCGCGGCTAGTGCAGATGCAGCCGCCGCAGCAACCGGGAGGGGGCGGCTACGGACAGGCAGCGGGGCCATACCAGCAGCAGGCGGGGGGCGCGCCGTACGACGCCTACCCAGGGCCCGCCCCGCAGCCAGCGTACTACCAGCAGCAGCAGCAGCCTGTCTACCAGCAGCCGCCGGCAGCCGCCCCGCTGCAGCAGCAGGCGGGGCCGCAGGTCAGCGTGCCTGACCTGCTGTCCTCGCTGATGGATGCCGGCCTGCTGTCGGCCCCTGGCATGCAGCCAGGCGCCGCGGCGCAGCCGCTGGCCTCTGGCGGCAGCGGGCTGCTGGCCACGCCGCCCTACGCGGCAGCCGTCACAGCCACGCCGCCATATGCACCTGCTGCTACAGCCACGCCCGAGCGCGAGCAGCCAGCCTCCACTCGCTTCACCCCAGAACGGATAAAGGTACAGAGCCAGGCGGGTGTGTGCCGGCCGGCCCTCCACCGGCCGGCCTGCCCCGCTGCAGCCCCCACCATTTTCTCACCGCTGTTTGGCGCCTGCCTCTGCCTCAGCCTCCGCCACCCCTCGATTACTATTGTCCCGCTCCTCTGCTTGGCGCACACACTGTATGTACACGCCTGCATTGGCCTCTGTGGGAGGCGCACGCCAGGGTGCACACGGCTGGCACATCGCCCGCGCTCTCCCCTGCACTCCGCACCAGGCAGCCCGACTGGCAGGCTCCGCAGGCAGCAAGCAGAACACGGGGCACGATGCATGCACACCCCGTTGAGGACACTTTGGGCCCCCTAGTTGCCGGGGGCGCAAGAACGCCCATACCCTGTTGATGGGCTGTGCCAACCAGTGACGGCCAGGAACCAGCATGCTGCCTGGTGGCCCTCAGGGCTTGAGACAGGGGCAGGGTGGCAAGGGGAGGCAAGCTTGTGATGGATGCGCTGCTGGCACACCCAGGCTCTGGCCCCCTTGCCCGCTGCTGCCCCTGGCTCTGGAAGCACTGCTGCCACTGGCAGGCCCCTCTGGAAAGAGCAGAGAGGCTGAGCTACGTGTGCCGTGGCCACTGCTCTGTGGGCATTGTTGTCAAACAACCAACAGAGCCTCGTCACGGCAGCGGGCCGCCCCGCATGTTGTCGCTGATGCCCGCTGCCCTCCCCATCCTACGCTCCAGGCATGCCCCCTTCTCTCCCCTGCACCCTCCCTGCACCGCACCCACCGCTGCCCGCACCCGCCTGCCTGCCCTGTATCACAGGAGCCCAACCCATCGGCGGTGTCCCGCCTGCTGCGCCAGACAGAAGCCACCAAGTCGCGCTTCCTCGACCGCAAGTTCCTGCGCCGCCAGCAGAAGGCTGGTGGAGCAGCCGCCCGCGCCTCCCGCCTCTGGTACGTCGACCTCGACACCTGGATGGCAAGCACCGTGGGCGCGGTGCCTGGCGGCGGCGGCGCGTCGGGGGCCGTGGGAGCGGGGCGCGTGGCGCAGCAGGTGGCAGCAGCGCCTCCCGAGAAGCACAGCGTGCCGGTGGACGACGCACAGGTGGGCTTACAGTGTGGCTGCCGAGTGCGTGGCGCGTTGGGCTGGGCGCAGCAGCGGAGCGGAGCGCTGTCCAGCATGTATAGTGGTGCATTGCCCTGGCTGCGCTGCTTGCCTTGCCCTGCAGACGCACTGCGCGCTGTCGGGCGAGCAGTTTGAGCAGTTTTGGGACGAGGAGCACCAGGAGTGGCGGTATCGCGACGCCAGGGCGCTGGGCGCGGAGGAGGCGGCCAGGTGGGGGGTGCAGCACGGCAGCGGTCGCCAGCAGCATGTGTTGTATGTTTGCATGCCCTGAGGGCAGCCCCTGTCACTGTGTGCAATCATTTTGGGCGATGAGCTTCAAACCAACTGTTTTTTCCTTGCTTCTGTTTCTGGCTGTGGTTTCTGCTGCAGCTACGGGCTGCATGAGGGAGCCATCGTGCTGGTCAGCGCCCTGGGCCGGCCTGATGCCAGCGTTCTGCAGCCTGCCCCAGACGCCGGCGTCGGCGGCGGCGTGCTGGCGCAGCTGCAGGCGCAGCAGGAGATCGCGGCAGACTTGGCGGCGGCGGCGGCGGCGGGGGAGCACGCGGGTGGCGGCGAGGGGGATGTGAAGCCTGGCCTGAAGCATGCGCTGGAGGAGGACTCTGCAGAGGGGGAGGCGCCACTGGAGAAGCGAGCCAGGCTGGTCTGATCCCCTATAGTGCAAAGGAGGTCTTGGGGCAAGAGCACTGCCCTGCACCTCTTTAGCAACTCAGCATTGCAGCACTTTCATTCACAGGAGGTTTGCCATTTTTTTCCCGGCAGGCCAGCTGGCACGCCCGCAGCTCGCAGGTTCGCTGTGCATGCTCACAACTGCAACCATACATGACAAGTGCTCAAGGTTTAAAGACAGTGCGAGCCAAATCACGGCTAGACAGCGCCAAGGGTCCATGAAATCAGAGGGGGCATGAAATCAAGCAGGGAATGGAGGGGCATGTCGCTGCGCTCACATGCCGCTGGGCTTGCGCTGCTTCTGCCGCTTCTTGGCCAGCGCCCTGCGCCGGGCCGCCGCATCCTCCTCATCCTCGCTGCTGCCCCCCGCCTGCTGCTCCTGCTGCTGCTGCCGCCGCCGATGCTGCTCCTGCTCCTCCTCGTCCTGCTGCTGCCCATCCTCATCCTCATCCTCCTGCCGCCTGTACCGAGACTTTTCTGCCGCATCCCGCTTCCGCTTGGCCGCCTCCTGCCGCTCCCGCATCTGCCGCATCACATCAGCCTGGAACGACTTGCCCTGCACCGGCAGTGGCGGGAGGCCAGCGTCGGTGAGGCACCAAGAAGTTAATCAGGAGCCACAACTGCCTCCAAACGCTGCTTCCCAGCACTAGCTGTCGGAAACTGCTTCCAAGCACAAGCAGTTCCAAGTGATGCCAGCACCAGCAGCGGCAGGCGGGCAGCCAGTCGGGCCCTCGCACCTGCGCCTTCCTCAGCGCCTTGGCCTGCTGCGCCTGCTGCGCCTGCAGCACCACGCGCTCCTCCAGGCTGGCGCTGGCCAGCGCCTCATCAGCACGCTTCTGGGCTGCCTCCAGGTGCTCCTTCAGCACCCCCTCCTGCAGGGTGACGTGGACTGGTTGGCGCCCGCTGCGGGAGGAGCAGCGCTGGCACTCGACTGCGCAGCGCTGGCGGGGCATACACAGACACGGGCACACACCACCTTGCTACACCACCACAGCACACCCACCCACCAGCTTGCTCTGGTCCTTTAGCGTGCGGTGCGCCTCATTCAGCGCCTCAAACGCCTGCCGCGCCGCCTCCCCGGGGTTCTTGTCGGGGTGCACCAGCACCGACAGCTTGCGGTAGGCCTTGCTGACCTCGGTGGCGCCCGCAGGCCAGCAGGGGTGCCCCAGGGCGTCAACCTCGGGCGGCGGCAGCTCCAGCAGCCTGCGCCAGGTCGAGCAGGGGAAGGCGGCGCCGCGTCAAAGTAGATGCAGCCCCCAGAAGATTGGGAGTGACAGCAGCAGGGATGCGGAAAGTGAGCCACTGCCTGTAGCAGGCAGCCTGCCGCCCTGTCGCCCTCCACAGCGCCCCTTGCCTGAAGTAGTCTCGATCCTTGGCTGCCAGCAGGATGCGCTTGATGGCATCCCCCGCCGTCATGCCACTGGACAGCTTGCGCAGCTGCTCCTCCTCATTTGCCTGCGGGGTTGGCCAGAGGAGAGGTGGAGTGCTACGCCGGCTGCCACTGACAGCAGCAGAAAGTGGCGCAGGTAGGCGTGGCGCCGGCAGATGCAGCGGCGGCAAGCGGCGCGCCTGCGCCTTGCGCCGCTTCAGCTCGGGGTCTGCCTGCTCCTGCTGGGCCTCCACCCCCGCGGCTGTCTGGTTGAGGATGCGCTCGAATATGCGGTCCGCCATGACGGCTCGCTCCCCGCCGACACAGGGAGCGTGCTGCCTCGGGTTGGGCTGCGGAAGCTGCCGCCAGGCGCAAGGGCAGTGGTGGTGGATGCGCCTGGGCCTCGCCTGCCTTTCAGGTGCCTGCCTTGCCACGCCCACACGCTTGTCGTTGCTCTACCAGGAGCCCAGGGAGTGGGCGGCAGTGCGAGTGATGGCTCCCTGCACGAGCGGCGGCCTCCTAATTCAGGTGGCGTGTGCATGCAGAAGTCCCCTGCTGCCGTTTCTGGGATTGTTTCGTGCTGAAAATGCTGTGCGTGGCAGGGTCTGACGGGGCGGCGCCCGCGGGCCTTGAAGAAGCATCTAAAGAGGCCTTGACCATCCCACAAATCACCTCAGCACAGCCGCTCGAGGCGGGCGACACCTCTACCTCGTGTTCACTGTGGGGCCTCTTGCACAGGGCCAAGGGGCCCGCCCTACGCACCGGCGGCTCTGGACAGAGTCGCAACGTGTTCCAACAGCCGCGGCGGCCTGGGAAAGCCCTCGTCGCCTCCAGCCTCCGACATGGCATTCAGATGCCATCAGGGCTCCCGGCAGGCTCCTCCTGCACCCCGTTTCGCGACCCCCAGGTTGACGCACACTAGCAGGCCCCGGCATGTGCGGGTGAGCCCCTGGGAGGGTCCTTCCCGCCACACTCTCGCTGGGGGTGTCGCAGGCCGCGGGTTCTGCGCCAAGCAGCAGCCTTGTATGCTCAGGGCAGGCCGCTGCCACGAGCTGCAGCCGAAGGTGGCAGCCGGGGGAGACTGCGGCCGGCGGCCGGCCACGCCCGCCTACTCACACACGCGCCGCCGCCGCTTGCTGCGACTCCGCAGGTGGCCTGCTCCCTGAACGACCCCTGGGCCACGCTGGGCGTGCCCCAGACGGCTAGCGAGAAGGAGATCAAGAAGGCGCACCGCAAGCTGGTGCTGCAGCACCACCCCGATGTCAGGAAGGACGACGTCGTGGCGCACGCCCGCTTCATGCGCATCCAGGTGCCCTGCTCACACGCACCCTTGCACGCAGCTCAGGAGGGGCCAGCTGGGCGAGCGAAGCTGCATGGCAGGGCAGTCGCGGCTTCGCTTCGTGCCTGCCCGTTGCGAATCTCCCCTGCTGTGTGCGTGATGGTTATGGCTTCCTGCTTGCCGCCTGCTGTACCTGCTGTACCGTGCAGGAGGCGTATGAGCTCATCATGGGCAAGCGCCAGGGCAAAGACATCGACAACCGACCCGCAGACAAGAGCGGCTGGCAGTTCCACGACTGGTGAGGGGCCCCGCCGCCTCTCCACCCGCCCGGCCCAGCGCGGCCCCTGTCGGCCTTAGCGGCTCATCTCCCTCCCGCCCTCCCTGTGTGGCTGATGCACCTGCCGCCGTCCTTCTGCCTCCCTCCCATTTTCTGTTCGCCTGCTGCTCAGGTATTGGAAGTTCAGTCTAAAAAGAAGAAAGGGGAAGGGGCCGGTTGGGGCCGCCATGGCGGATGATGAGCCGCCGCCCGGCACGCTGCGCCAGCAGTGGCAGTCGCAGATGGCGGGGCTCAAGCAGAAGGCGGCCGCCAAGCAGAGCCGGCAGCAGCGGCGGCGGCACGGCGCCACGGAGGCGGCAGCGGGAGGTCCCGCCGGCTCTTGTGCGGCCCGGGAGAGCGTGTGGCGCAGCACCACCAGCACCACCAGAAACGCCCGCACCGCAGACAAGGCGGCAGCGCGGCAGGCGACGGCTGCAGCAGCCCACAACCTGGGTGGCGAGCAGCGGGCGGCACCGGCAGTGGCCACAGGATCCCAGCAGCAGCAGCAGCCCAGTCCCCTCGCCACGGCGGCAGCAAGCCCAGCAGCCGACGGCCCAGATGGCATGCCGCTGCGCCATGCTGCTGCCGCCGGCGCCGCCTCGCCAGCACACCAGCACGTGGAGCCGGAGCGGCAGCCTGCCCAGGAGGACGGCAGTGTCGACCCGCAGGCCAGCCACCACGGCAGCGGCACCAGCTCCCGCATCGAACGGCTGCGGCAGCTGCTGGAGCAGGCTGCCGCGCTGGTGCGGCCGGGTGAGGAGGAGGGCGGCGCGCAACTGCAGGCGCAGGCGCGGCACAGCCCGCGCGCCCAGGCGGGGGCCGCGCCAGCTGGGCGCCGCCACATGCGGGGCCGCATCTCCCTGGATCAGCTGGCTGCGCTGCTGGGAGGCCAGCAGGCGCAGGCCGACGGCGCCTCCTCTGCCGTCCCCGCCGATGCGCACCTGCACCGTCGCTTCGAGGCGAGCATGCGGGCGCACCGCAGCGAGCAGCAGCTGCACGCAGAGGGCGGTGCTGGAGCTGGCGGCGCGGCTGCTGACCAGGCACAGGAGCCGGAGCCGGAGGAGCAGGAGGAGGAGGAGGAGGAGGAGCCCAGCCAGCACCAGCACCAGCACGGGCACTGGCAGCAGCCCCGCGGCGCCGCCCACAGCCGCAAGTTTGCCAACCGCGACGAGGTGGAGGGCCGCCTGTCGTCGCAGCTGGCGGGCCTCAAGCGCCGCGCCGCGCTGAAGCAGGAGGTCGATGCCAGCTGCTGAGCCTGCGGCGCCCTCGGCTGCCCGGATCAAAACGAACGAAGCAAAAACAATCAAACGCCGCGCCCCAGAGTGCCCACATTGTGTGAGAGCCGCTGCCACATACTGCCGCCGCACCGGCATTCTTCCCTTTTCGCCTGTTTGCCTGCCCAGCTGTGCACTTGAATAATTGCCAGCCCATCTGATCGCACTGCGCTGTGTTGTTGCCCGTCAGCGCACCGCCTAGTTTTGCCTTCCAGCCACATTGTGCGTGGAGCTGGCCCCCATGCCAGCCTGCTTTTGCCTTTCCAAATCTTTCAGTGTACGACTGATTTCAGTGCTGGCCCTGTACCACCAGCATCAGCTGTAGGCTTTCATCCCCCTCCTCAGCCCTTCAAAATTTGTTTTTGTCAGATGAGTCGAGTCGACATCGCGACTGCACAGCACCAGGAGCCCTCTGTTCCGCTCCCTGGCCACTTGTCCCCACTGCTGTGGGTGTAATGTGGGTGTAACCTTACAGAGACGAACAGCCTTACATCAGTAATGGATGGGCGCCCATGCCAGGCAGGCGGCTGCCTCACCCCTCCTCTGCTAGCTCATCCGCCACCGCCCCCAGCTCCGCCAGCAGGTCTGTGGCGCCCATGGATCGCCGCTGCCTGGCAAACGCCCGCTGCGAGGCTCGCCTGCAGGGGGGGGGGGGGGGGACGCCTCTTGCCCAAGGCACACCGAGCGCAGGCAGAGGGGCCAGCCTCCGCTCCACCCATCCAAGCTGCACCTGGTGGTGATGCAGCCGGCGTACGCCGCCACCAGCAGCGGCGGCACCCCCGTGCCGCTCCCTCCCACGCCGTCGCCCGCATGCAGCTGCTCCTTGCTGGTGCCGCCGGCTCGCTGCGCCCAGGCGGCAAAAGTGGCGATGCACCCAGACAGCACATCGCCCTGCAAACAGCGGGCATGTGAGGTGATGGCACCACCAGCGGGACATACTGCTTATCCACCTGGCGGGCCAGCAGGAGGCGCAGAGCAGGAGGCACGGGACAACTCGGCACTGGCCACGTGCCTGGCCGCCTGCACGGCGGGGAGACCCCTCCTCATCACACTCCACCACCTGCCGCCCATCCCCCACCGCGTCTACCGCCCCCTTGCGCACAACCACCGGGCCATCCAGGCTGCAAGCATGCGGAGGGCATCAGGAAAGACGAGGTTACGGCTTCAAGGCTGCTAAAGATGTGACAACAGGGCGGCACACCTGCTCCCAGCAGCATCACCACGATGCTATGGCCTGCGCAGGCCTCCTGTCCAGCTCTTACCTATGGCAAATCCTCTGCAGAGCATCCTCGCTGCCTGCATCCACCCCCAGCTTGTCTGCCAGCCGCTGGAACTCCACTTTGTTGGGGGTCAGCACTGCGTTGCGGTAGCCTGGCCAGTGCAAGAAGGACCAGCATGCGCAGACGGATGGGCAGGCGCTGACAGGCCTGGCCCATGTCATGCCAGCAGCAGCAGCATTGAAGCCAGCTCTGGAGCTCCCAGCGCCCTGAAAACCACCACCCACCCACCCATGCACCCACCCACCCACCCGCCACCAGCGAGGGGTCCTGGTTGACCAGCCACAGCCCATCAGCATCAACCACCATGGGCACGCCCCGCCGCCGCACAGCCCGCATCACCTGCGGCCGCCACGCCCAACAGCTGACCATGCACGCATTGCCAAACAAGAACACAAGGCAAGGATGCAGGCTGGCTCCAATGGCAGGCAGAGCTGCTTCTAAAGCAGAATCTGCCTAGGGCTGCTCTAATGCCATGCTCCGTGCTGCCCACCGACCTCTGCCACAGTGAAGAGGATCAGCGGGTCCCGCCCCAGGCCCGGCCCCACCAGCACCGCATCAAAACGGTCCAGCCAGGGCTCGATTGCCGCCACCGCCTCCCGCACCTGCGGCCCCGGCTCCTGCTCCCTCCAATGCACAGGCCACGGCAGCACAGCGCAAGCGGTTGGGGGCTTTGTACAGCCGTATGCTGAGTGTCGGCAATGCAACACGGTGCTACACGGCACGCCAAGCTGCTAGCACTCGCGCCCTGCCTGTGCCACATGCGCCCACCTGGCTCCCTCGCCCATCGGGCAGGTAGGGGTGCACGATGAGCTCGGGGCTGTAGCCTTTGATGACGGTGGCGGCGCCCTCGGTGCAGAACACGTGAGACAGGTCGGCCCCAATCTGCGGGGAGGAGCGGAGACAGCAGGACGCCACCCAATGCCACGGAAGACCTGTCGACGCCAGAGCGGGCACAGGCAGGCAGCGTGGCGACAGACAGCGGGGCAAAGCCAAGCACAGCCAGTGTGTCTGCTGCACTCGCCTTGAGTGCTGCCATGGACGCGAAGAAGGGCGCGCCGGTGTACTCCCGGCATCCGCCCACCACTGCTATCTTGCCTGCCTGCCCCTTGTACTTGGTGGCTGCATGGGCATGGGCGGAGGGGGGGTTCAGTGCATTCTGCCACAGGAGATGGGCTGATGCCACCTGCTGCAGCGCAATGCGGCTTCTCACGTGCCAAGTCTGGCACTAGGTGCGCCACCCGCTCCAGCAACTCTTGCTTGCTTGGCGCCATTGCCACCGCCGCCGGTCCGGGCGGCGTCGCGGCTGAGAGCGCTCTGCTTTGTGGCGTGCGCTGTGCGCCTCTCGCCTACAATTCAGTGTGGGGTGTTAGCCAACATACAGAGGCATGGGGGGAATCCAAGGCCAGAGCCGGCGGGCTTACTTCAAGCCTGTGCGGTCTGCGCGTCAGACGCGGCAACAAGCAGCGATAGATTCACGGCATAACCTACCGATCTCTCCTGGGCAAGAAGAACGCTGCCAAACAGCGGCGTTGAGAAAAGCCGGAAGGGTGCAGCGCGGCAAGCACGCCAGGGCAGGCGCAGGCGCTGCATGGAAGAAACCAAGAAGAGGAAGATGCGGTAAAGGGTGCGGCCGGGCGCATTGTCATGTGACAGGCTGGCGCCGCAAAGGCGACCACCGACTATGTGTATAACGGCGCATGCCACTTCAGATGAGATGGGCCATCCCCCAGGCTGCCGGATGAGCAGCCCTGGAACTCTTGCAATGTTATTGCAATTGTTCTGCTCAAAATAACGAGAAGGATGCAGTCGGTGGCATCAGCACATGTGACCTGCTGTCGCAACCAGCACAGCCGCACCCCCCTCAGTCGGCCAGCTGAAAGGCCTCCCGCCGCAGGCCCGACAGCTCCTGCTGCAGCTTGTTGTGGCGCTCGTCAAAGGCCCGCATGGTGGCATGGAAGTGCTGGCGCCATCCGCTACCGCTGCTGCTCCCCTTGCCTTCCGCCTCTGTGCCGCCGCAGGGGCCATTCTGATGAGCAAGCGAGCTGGACACGCTCACCATTCCCGCACGTGGGCTGCGCACCGTGACTCTGACGCTGGAGCCGTCGGGGGCGGCTGCCACATGCACCGCTGCCGTGTCGGGCGCCAGCTGGCTGGCTGCCATGCGGCGCGGCGGCAGGAGCGGGGGCGAAGGGGCGTGGCGGGTGCTGCCACTGGCGGGCTCCCCAGCAGGGCCGCAGCACACCGCGGAGCTGACATTGAGCAGCACCCGCTCCAGCTCAGACTTGGTCTGCACCTCCCCCCGCAGCCACTGGCGCACCGCCTTGCGCCAGCCCTGCTCCAGAGCCAGCCGCTGCCTGAGCTCTGACACCAGGCTGACGCCGCCGCCCGCGGGGCCGCCCACCGCTGCCCGCAAGGCCGCCAGCTCGCCGGCCGCGGCCTCCCGCTGCCGCCGCTCCTCCTTGAGCTCCGCCTGCAGCTGCGCAGCCCGCTCCTGCAGGCGATGCGTCTCGCCCTGCAGCGCCGCACCCCGCGCCCGCTCCGCATCCAGCGCCTGGAGGCCCTGCTCGCACTGCTGGCGCCACTCCCCCGCCGCCGCCTGCAGCTGCTCCACAGAGCTCACGGTGGCCCTGCCCTGCTCCTCCGCCTGCTGGGCGTGCTGCTGGAGCTGCGCCCGCAGCGCCTCACTTTCCTCCCGCAGCTGGAACACCAGGTCTGCCAGCTGCCCGCACTCCTCCTGCTTGCCCGCCAGCTGGCCGCGCAGCCGGCCGGCAATCAGCTCTCCATCCTGCTGCGCCGCTGCCAGGGCCGCCTCCAGCCGCCGACACTTGTCCTCGCCCTCGGCCTGGACCTGGCGCAGCGCGGCCACCTGGCGCTCCAGCTCACGCGTCTGGGACCCAGCGACAGGCCTGTGCGCTGGTATTGGCGGGTGCCGCACCGCCGCCTCCTCCTCCAGCTCGCTGTCGGTGGAGGCGGCCCTGACAACCGCCAGAGGCGGGGGCTTGCGGGTGGGGGAGGCGGCGGTTCCCGCCAGCAAGGATTGAATTCCTTGCAGCTCGCTGAGCAGCTCGGAGGCCATCGGGCCCTCGGCAGGCGCAGTCAAACCTTCGAAACCGGAATGTGTCGGAAGTGTGCGGTGGCTGTGTGGGGCCCGGGACATGCACGTGCTCATATGCCTATGCCCAGGGTGCAAAGAAGGCTGGGGGATGGGATCATTGGAGATGGAAGCCAGCCGAGCTGGATGGCTGCGTGACAGGGATTACCACCCAAAGCCGCTGCCGCGCCGCTGATCGATCCTATCAGCGACTATGGTAGGCTCGGGATGATGGCCAGCCTGCACAGGGTATGCCTGGTTTGCTCCTGAGTTTTCGGCACTTCGGCAGGCACCTGATGCGGCAGGCCGGGCTTCCCTCGATCGCCCACCATCCGTCAGTCACCACCCTCCGCCCGGCACCCGCATGGGTGGCCCCGCGGGGCGGGCGCCTGCTGCCACAGCCAGGCGGCAGGCTCCCCAGGCAGCCAGCCCGCTCCCTGACCGTCAGGGCGGCACAGAAGGATGAGGAACTACCTTTTGAGACCTACACACCCACCGCAAACGCAGCTTACTGGACGCAGGTGTGGGCCGCCTACCGCCGCCGCCGCCGCCTAGCGAGCGTGCCGGGCTATCCATCGGCCGTACCTTATCGATTGCTCCCCCTGACCATCCTCTAGTCTCCTTGTCCTTGCAGCGACCCGTGGCGGTGACCAAGCGAGGCATGCAGATTGTGGCTGCGCTGGGCAGCTGGCTGGCGGAGGGCCGCCTGACAAACCGTGGCGCCAGCGCGCAACAGCTCACCGATGCTCGTGCCGACAAGCTGCGCCACCTGCTGACCGAGCTGGGCCCCGCCTTTGTCAAGATCGGCCAGGCGGTCAGCAGCCGGTGCGTGGCAGCTGCCAGCCGCCGATTCAGGGGAGCAGCGTGCATCTCCTTGCTGCTGCCCCGCAGTCGTGGGCCACAGTCGAAACGGTCGCCCGCTCTGCCTCCCGTACCGGTACCACCCTGGTCCGCACCACCACACGCCAACACAACCCCTCTGCAGGCCCGACGTGGCTCCTCCCGAGTTCTTGCGTGAGCTGGAGAAGCTGCAGGACCAGATCCCTCCCTTCTGCAACGATGAGGCCTTTGCCGTCATCCAGGCCGAGCTGGGCGCCCCCGCCAGCCAGGTCTTCTCATCCATCTCCCCAGAGGCGATGGCAGGTGTGGTGGGCAGCTGAGGGGGGAGGGATCAGGCGCGGGTTTGCTTCTGGGAGGAAGGCCCCGTGGCGCGGAATGCCGTTTGTGGCCTCTGGCAGCGTTGCGGCTCTCATTTCCCGAACCTGCTTCTGCCACCCTCTTGAACTGTGGCACCAGGCCCCGCCCTCCCGTCTGCAGCCGCCAGCCTGGGGCAGGTGTACCGAGCAGTGCTGCGGGACACGGGCGAGGCGGTGGCAGTCAAGGTGCAGCGCCCGGGGGTGGCGGCCTCCATAGCGCTGGACGTCTTTGTGCTGCGCCAGGTGCGTCCGCTGTGGCAAGGGAGGGAATGGGCGGAGGGAGGAAGGTCGGGCAAGGGCAGAATGGCGCTGCAGGGATATCTGCAGCAGCTGTGCTTCTTGCTCATCCATGCAAGCCGAGCCGTCCGCACGCAGCTCAATAGGCCCCGCCTGTGCCCGCTGCAGCTGCTGGCGGCGCTGCGCCAGTGGCGCAAGGTCAACAGCGACCTGCCCGCGCTGCTGGACGAGTGGGCGTCCAGCCTGTTCCGCGAGCTGGACTATCGGCACGAGGCGGCCAACGGCGTGCGCTTCAGGGAGCTGTACGGGCACCTGGAGGTGGGCAGGCTGTGTGGCGGGTGGGGCGGCCCGCGGCGTGGCGGGGCAGGGAAAACTGTACACAGGCGCAGCTACGTCGTTTAGTTGAAGAGCGCTGGCCATGTTTTGCTGAAGAGCGCTGGCCGCCCGTGCCCGCCATCCTGCTGCCCCCCCCGCCTGGCGCAGGGCGTGTATGTGCCCAGCATGCACACCTCTCTGTGCACACGCAAGGTTCTGGTGATGGAGTGGGTGGAGGGCGAGCGCCTGCGCACGGCATACAGCGCGGCGCGGGAGTCGGGCGGCGCTCAGCCGGCGGCGGGGGTGAGCGGGGCGGTCGGTGGCTGCCGCCATGGTGCTGCCACGGTGCTGTGCCCGGCGCAGCGCTGCCGGGTGTGCCTGCGCCCTTGCGCTTCTGTATCCTCTGCTTGTGCTCCGCTCCTCCAGCGCCCCACCCTGCCCCGCCCCCGCAGGCGCCCCCCAGCGGCACCAGCGACGACCTGCGCCTGGTTGAGGTGGGTGTGCGGTGCAGCCTGGAGCAGATGCTGGAGGAGGGGTTCTACCACGCAGACCCGCACCCGGGCAACCTGCTCAAGACGCGGGACGGCAGGCTGGCCTACCTCGACTTTGGCATGATGGGGCAGGTGGACGCCACGATACGCAGGTGGGGGCGCTGCGCGCAGCGGGCTGTGGGCAAGCGAGCTTGGGAGGGGAGACGGCGTTGCACGTGAGGTGGCGGTGGTGGTTCGTTGTGGGGTGCGCGCGCCGCAGGTGCTACTGCCGAGTTTGCTGGCAGCTCGGAATGGGCGGGGTCTCGTCACCAGCTCATCCTACGCCGCGCCCGCGCGCTCGCCACTGCCCCCTTTTGGTGCCTGGCTGCCGCGCAGGGGCCTGATGCGTGCCACGCTGCACCTGGTGAACCGCGAGTTTGAGGCGCTGGCAGACGACTTTGTCACGCTGGGCATGCTGCCCAAGGCCGGGGTGCGGCGCGCTGCGCTGCGCTGGCGCGCGCTGGGCTCCAGCCTGCGCTGCTCCCTGCTGCGCTGCCTCGGCTGCGCTACCTCGGGCCTGCGAGGCAGCCCTAAATACGGCCGGCTGCCTCACTCTCACGCGGCCTGCCAGCGCCGTTGTCTGTCTGCCAGCCTGGCGCCCTGAATCTGGATGCCTGGCGCGCTGCGTGCGCCGCCCCGCCCGCTGCCCGCAGGCGCTGGAGAAGCCTGAGGTTGTGGAGGCGCTGACCAGCGTGTTTGCAGAGGCGCTAAAGGGGGGCGTCAGCAACCTGAGCTTTGGCGACCTCAGCGGGCAGCTGGGTGAGGCTGCGCCCACGGCAGGCGGGCAGCAGGGGTCGGCGGTCCTGCCGGCAGGCGCAGCGCCTTTGCATGTGGAGCCCTCTTGTGGCTATGGCTATGCCCCCCCGATTGGCCCCTACCGCCTGCCTGCACCACATCTCTATCCCCGCAGGCCGCACCATGTACCAGTTCCGCTTCCAGGTGCCGCCCTACTACACCCTGCTGGTGCGCAGCCTGTCGGTGCTCGAGGTGAGGATGGCAGGCGGCGGCAGGCGCGCCGGGCGCAGCGGGGGCTGCCCCGCGCCGCGGTGCCGCCCAGCAGGGCGCCGCCGCGCGGCCGCGGCCCCAGCACACCGCCCCGCCTCGCCAGGCTGCCCCAAGTGCTGGCTGCCCGTCTCCTGTCCCACACCACACACCACCCACCGCCCACCCACCGCCCACACGTCACACCCGCGCAGGGCATCGCGCTGGCCAGCGACACGCAGTACAAGGTGCTGGGCGCGGCGTACCCCTGGGTGGCGCGCCGCCTGCTCACCGACACCACCCCCGAGCTGCGCTCCACGCTCATGGCGCTGCTTTACAAGGACGGCGCCTTCAACTTTAGGCGCATGGAGTCGCTGATCAGCCAGGCGGTGCGGCCCACCGGCAGGCCGCAGCCGCGGCGCGGGCAGAGTGAGTGGCGGCCGGGGCGGCGCTGCGCGGCGTGGGGTGGTGGCAATGAGTGGCAACAAGCTGGCGGCGCCCGCCTCCTTGTGCTCGGAGCAGGTGGCCGCTTGGAGGTGGGCGCGCGGGCAAAGTGTGGCTTGGGCTTGCTTCTGAGCGAGGCATGCCTGCCCCCCGGCGCCGCTGCGTGCAGGCGCGGTGCAGCGTGGCGACGCGCTGGCGCTGCTGCTGTCCCCCGAGGGCGAGTTTGTGCGGGGAATAGGTGGGTGCCTCGCTTTCTTCCCGCGGACGGGCGACCGCCACAGGAGGCGGACCTCCGCTCAACTGCGCAGCCTGCTGCGGTTTGCTCGCCCCCGCGCATGCCTATTCATGATGAATCTGCTGCCCGGGCCAGTGTGCGGCATCACTCACCCTGGTTGCCTGGATGTGTGCTGGTGTGTTGGTGCAGTGACTGAGGAGCTTGCCAAGGGCATCGACGCCGGTTGGCGCCTGGCGGCGGACACCGCGGTGGGCACCGTGCAGCAGCAGCTGCTGGCGGCGTCGCTAGACACACGTGAGCGCCGCGCTGCACGCTGCCGGAGGCGCACCATCCCGCCGCACCAACCGCGCGGAAGCCTTTTTTTTGGCTTGCCTTGCCGAAGATTTGCAGCACGTTCATGCTGTGGCACTGAGCGTGCTGTACCGCGCGAGCGTTCACGGCCAGCCTCATCGTTGTTTGCTTTGCTCGCTCGCCGCGCTGCCTGCAGGCGACAGCTTTGGCAGTGCCAGCGGCGGCAGCCTGCTGGTGCATGCGCTGGCGGAGTCGCTGGCGGCGCTGCCCCGCCTGTCTGACCAGCGGGACCAGGAGCAGGTGGAGGGCATCACGCGGCTGGCACAGGTCCTGCAGGTGGGCTCCCCGGGCTGCAGCAGGGGTGTGCGGGGTGGGTCTGTGCGCGGGGTGTTTGGAGCGGGACGCATGCTGGGGTGGCGAGGCGCGGAGCAGCCGGCATGCGGCGGCGGCAGTAGGGTGGCGCTGCTGGTGCAACTAAGCAACCTCTTTGCCTGCTTGCCCACCTGCTGCTGCCGCAGGAGTCGACTGCGGGCCAGCGGCAGCAGCAGGGCGGCGACTGGTTCCAGGAGGCGGTGGGCGGCGGCGTTGGCGGCGGCGGAACGCCCCTGGACTCTGCGCTGGCCTCGCTGCAGACCGCGGCCGCCATCCTGCAGTGGGTGGTGGTGGAGGCAGAGGTGGGTGGCCCGGGGGGGAGGCTCCCGCCATGCTGCCTTCCTTCTTTCTATGTTGCTGTACCTGCAAGGCTGGTTGCGTATGAAGGTGCACTGCATGCAGAGGTGTGCATGCAGAGAGCAGTGTGATGGGAAATCGTTGGGCTGGCATGTGCTCGGTTGCTGCCTGACCCCCCCCCCTCCCCGGCCTGCCGCCGCCCCGCCGCAGACGCTGTCACCCGCGGAGCGTGCAGAGGCGCTGCGCCTGCCCATCAGCATCGGCCAGGCGGTGGCGTCGCGTGCCGCAGCCCGCACCATCCGCTGGCTTCTTGTGGGCGAGGCCCTGTTCAAGTCTGCAGCCGCCACGTCTCCAGCCGAGGCGGCGGCGGCGGCGGAGAGGGCGGCCCGTGAGGCGCGCGCCGGCGGCAGCCGAGGCGGCTTCACCGCGGCGGCGGCGGCCACCAGCGCGGCGCCCCCCGGCAGCGCCACCAGCAGCTCTAACGGCAGCAGCGGCAGGCCTGGAGGCGGCAGCGGGAGCGGAGGGAGCAGCAGCAGCAGAACGCCGCTTGCAACCACCCCAACCCAGCCTAGCACGGCTACACCCACCCAGGGCGGGAGCCGGCGGCAGCAGGCAACCGTTATGGTGCCGCTGTCCCCCACCAGCAACAGGCCGGGCAGCAGCAGCTTCCCGCCCCTGCCCTCGTACCGCGCAGAGTCTTCGGGCAGCTCTGTCATCGTGCGCCCCACGGCCACGGCGGCCAGCACAGCAGCCGCCGCCAGCAACGGCGCCAGCGGCCCCGCAGCACCAGCAGGAGGGCCACAGGCGCTGCGGAATGGCGCTGCCGTTGGTGCCCGGCGCCAGTGACCCGTGGTGGGCAGCTGTGTGGGGCCCAGTCATGCTGCCTCTTGGCATATAGGTGTGGCGGGCTTGGACTACTAGACCTGCATCCCCTTCTTTACCCCAATTTTGTTGTATGCTTTCGTTCAGCCGGTTCCCTGCTTGCCCCGACGAACCCTTGCCATGTGTCGCCGGGGCTGGAGCCTTGGAAATTGCAAAAAGAGCAATGAAGACACGGGTGCATTCAGAGGTTCATTGGTCAGGAGAGGGCAGAGAAAACCGATCAGAGGGCAGTGCTTCCGAGGGGCTGACGCTGAGAGTATGCATGGAATCAGGGATGAACAATTGCAGGGCATCTCAATCAAACAAAAATGAGCAGCCTTGGCATGGGACAGATATGTTTGGGCATGTGGGTTGGCGCGAGCCATCCGTCCCGGTCACGCTGGCTGCGCAGCGGGGGTGCCCCCACCTGCCTGCGAGCTGCCCCCCAGCCGCCGCGCTGTGTCTATGCACTGCCAAGTCAGCACACCATTCAGCATGGCCTGCATGCCAGCAAAGTATGGCACGCATGTTGGGAAGCACGCCCAGAGCAGCCCTGAGCGACCGTGCGTGCCAGAGCGGACTCCCCTCGGGCCCACGCACCTCCTGCAAGCACACAGCCCACCCTGCTGCCCATCTGCCAGTCCGCCACCCCGCCTCACCTGCGTGGTGGCGCTGCCCAGGATGATTGGGTCCCGCACCAGGATGGCGGTTGTGAAGATGCGGGCCAGGTTGCCAGCCAGCGAGAGGCCGCAGGAGATGAGGCTCAGCTCGCCGCTGTCGCCCCGCCGCACGTTGAGCAGGATCTGGGGCAAGCGGCCGCCCAGGGCCAGCACCGCCACCGACCCCGCCTGCAGCGTGGTCAGCAGGGCGGGCGGGCAGGCGCCGCCAAACAGCCACCACGCCGCGCCCGCCAGGCTGGCAGACACCGCCAGCTGGACTGCCCGGGGCACGGTGCCCATGCGGAAGATGAGGGCGATGATCATGGCGTTCTGCAGCGCGCAGATGGCTGCAGGGCACGGGGTGGAGGGGGCGGGGGCGGGGGTTGGGAGCGACGGTCGGGGAGCAACAGCCTGTTAGCGACGTGCGTGGGGCACCAGTCCCAGCGCACAAAGCTGCCATGGGCCAGCAGCAGGCACGCGCCTTGCGTGCTCAGTCCCCTGGCCGGGCCCCGCCGCAGCTGCCGCTGTGCAGAAACCGCATGCCCGCCCCCCTGCTGCTGTCCAAAAAACGCATGCCCCCCCTGCCGCTGTGCAGAAGCTGCATGCCCACCCCTGCCGCTGTCCAAAAAACGCATGCCCCCCTGCCGCTGTGCAGAAGCCGCATACCCCCCCCTGCCGCTGTGCAGAAACTGCATGCCCCCCCCCCCCCCCCCAAAAAA